ATTTCCGTAATTACAAGAAATATTTCGTTTTAATGAAAATTATTTTTTTGTTGCATAATTTATGATCGCCACTGTATGTGGAATATCTATTAACTTATAATGTCATATAACGTCTTGGTTTCTCTTTGGCCAAAAGAAAATACACATACATGATAACGATAAACACCATATTCTCTAAAAAGCAACTCTTGCAACTCTTATATGATCAGCCCACTTTTGTTGCGTTTCATGAGGTCTAATAATGGATAAATAATCGTATTTCTTTTCCTTTTTAGCTACTTTTTCAAGCCGATAATTGTGAACTTGTTTCATATCAAATTCGTATCAATTAAATCACGAGATGAGTTACAGATCAGCCAATCAGATTCAAATTTAACTCGTCGCGTGAATGTAATGCATGTTTTTAGGACCGTGAAAACTTCTAATAGAGGATACCGCCAATTCGAACCATTTTAAAAAAATTTTATATTGCTCGCATTAATTAGTTGTTTCACATTATTAAAAAAATTAAACCAACTCCTTTTTGAGTCTTTCAATAATTAACTTTCATGTTACAAACTCCTTTTATTGATTAATATCAAAATCTATAAAAGCAGATAATTTCAAAAACTCTAACTGCCTACTAAATAAAAATAAAAGTAATCATGGCTCGAAATTTTATTTTTGTATTCATAGTATTGACTACACTTACCATTATCAATGCCATTCCGTTTCAAAAAAGAGCGACTTTCTTTGGTCCATGTCCTAACATAGAAGATACATTCTCTGTAAAAATGGATCCTGATCCACTTATTTCTCCACATCTCATAACTTTTACTATTACCGGAAAAGAGACGACTAGTCAAATTATCGGCGCACTTGAATCACTTTTTGTTACAATAGGTGCTAGCATTCCAATACAAACTCCCAGTGCATTTCCTGTTTGTAATGCAACTAATTGTCCAATTTCTCCTGGAGTCGAGTATACTACAACAGGCACATTTTTTCTAGACGCCCCTTTACCTCCATCATATGAAATTGTATTACATATTGGAAATGGTCACAATAATATAATCCGCGCTTGTGCATTGGCGACAATAGAGACGTCTCAAATTTTAATTTAGTTTATTTTATAAATTATTTTGAAAAGTTAATATTTTTTTCCGAGACCGCCCATCAATGTAAAGGAGGAGGATCATCAAAAAATTTTTGATTGGGATTTTAGGATTGTAAGATGTTTGGATTTGCTTCCTTTTTTGATAATAATTTAACATTTTTAATTTTACTTAATGATCTTAAAATAAAATTTTTTTTTCAAAAAAAAATCTTTTCTGTACCGCATACATGTTTCGTTGGAGATACATAAATATGTTGCTAATAAAAGAGCCAATTAAATTTTAAAAACTGACTTGAAGTTAGAGGATTAGAATGCGTATTTTGTAAAAATTTCAGGTGATTAAGTAATTATGTCAAATGAATCAAATGAAGGTATAACTATTTCATAAAATACAGTAATTTTATAGAAATATAAACAACTAGTTGTTTCGGTGTTTATTTCTCTCATGTGTTAACAGTGAAAAATTTGTTGGCAAAGTGAGCATTTATGAGTCGCTATGATCGATAATTACCGTATATCTTTATCAGATAATTTATTTTTCCGATATCACATAACATACTATCACGTATATGGCATAGTGGAGTCAAATCGGCCCATATGTGTCTTTTAGTGTGTAAAAAGACACTGATGTGCCTAATCCTTCTAGTAATTTTCTCTAACCACAAAACATAACTGTATAGTTTGCTTTCTGCAAATATACCGAAATTATCTTTAATATAATCATTGTCAGTTATAATAGTATATGGTTCTCCACGCCGAAATTTACCGAATTCAAACCATATTGATGGAAACTCATCCACTTGTCCAATGGGATCAGTTGTACCCATTAAAGGTAATATTTCTGAATCTTTCGGTTATAAACTTACCCTTCAATCCATGTCTTTCACTTATTGACAAGTGTTCTATTCCAAGATATACTAGTTTATAATTTAAATTTGTAATAACATAAATATTAATTTTATTTTTATATTTTTTTAAATTATACAAGATATCATTAAAGAGTCTAGTATAATTAGCACGTGACTATACATAACGCACCGCAGCAAGTAACCAGCCATTTTTGATATTACATATAATTAAATTCTTCATTTACTCTATTTCCATCAATTAAATTATGACTTGCTCCTCCAATTTCCGCATTACAATCCGGACATCTACTCGTTTCCATAGCCCTACCACATTCTCCGATCGTATACTATTAAAAAAAAAAATGAAAAATGATACATCAAAAAATTGTTTAATTCATAAAAATAAATTTCAAATTACTTACCGGATGACCATTAGGACACTCATACCAATGTCCTATATAAACAAAAAAAAAAATAGTAAAATAAATAAATCATTAAAATTGTTTTATGCATTTACCATAATTAACATCCATACCTGAACTTTGAAATTCTGTTTTCATGGCGCGATGAACGTCTAATTTTTCTTCAATACTTAAAGTTTTGCTTAGATTCTCGGCACAAATTACAACTTCGTCACAATTTTTCGATAAATTTTCTAACCTCACATGAATGCCGCTCTTGAGGGTCTCCTCAGCATTATTATATCCATCACTTTTAAATATATATGCAATACTTTCCTTAATCCTTACACAATTCTCTATAATTTTCGTTCGAAGTACTTTATTAACAACTCCACTTTCATTAGGTGGATATCTCAATTGATACATAAGCATTTTGAGATCAAATTCCAATATTTCTACATTAATTAAAAGTAGATGTCTACCATAATGGGTAGATTCTGCTACGCCCTTAAAGGTAATTAGATGGTTTCGAATAGAAGTTTGTAATCTTTCGGCAAATTTTTTCCAAACATCTTTAATATTTACGGAATTTTCGATTGTTGTATTAATTGATACCTTTGAAATTTCTTGAATTATAAATAAAACTTCATGGAATTGAATTTTTTGTATGTTGATCATTTCAAAAAGCGTGTCCAAATAAATTCGATGATCTACTTGTGGTATTGAAATTCCTATTTGAGAAAATGCATCTTGTAAAATTAATGTTTCGGTATTTGGAGGATCTTGAATTTTAAGGTTTGATAATTCAACTGTTAAATCCTTCTCAGCATCTTTCTTTGCCAATTTGGTTCGGTATCTATGAAATAAAGGAAAAAACGTATTATATATATTTTTATTGACTATATTTAAACGAATCAAATATTTATACTTACAAACTTGAGACGGCAGCTTCAAAAGCTTTTTTATGAGGTGGCCTTTGTGTAGCACAAAGAATAAAAGTTAATTTCTTATAATATTTTAATAATTTTCCAACATGAGTTGTCCAAACTTTTTCACTATTCTCTTCAAATCCATGATATTTTTTAACATTTTCAAAATATTGAAAAGGTGTGATGTCGGGTAATTCATCGCTTATAACACAATATTCTTTCAATACGACTTCTCTTGGTCTCACATCAACTTCAGGCAAACTATTTAAATCAAATTTTAATTGATCTCGATTATATTTCATTTTTTCTTCAATTGAAATAATTTCTTGGGTAATTTCTTTTAGTTGTCTATCATATTTTATTAAGAATTTTTTGTTTTGTATGTCTAGGGTACATTTGTTTATTATTCTTCCATATCTCCTAATGTTTTTGATTGGTGCTCGACACTCTGGACATGTTTTGATATTTGATGGTGAAGTTGGGAGGTTTTTAACTGATGCCCATTCTTCCTTTGAAACTTCATAATAATTTTCCATCTCCATATAATTATCCATAGTTGTCATGGTATATGTATGTCCACAAGAAAGGACGATCATCCTTTCCTTATCCCAATCTACCTCACAAAACGTAGTATTTTCAATTAAATCTGGTACTTTTTTTTTAATATTAGATATTTTAAAGATTAATTAATAAAATATGTAAGTCCATTTTAATAAAATTTTAAACAAAATACATACCTTGATTTTTAATCTTTTCAGGAGCACAGATAGCGCAAAAATCTTTTGAAGGACAAATTTCTCCGCAAACTCCAACACATTTATGCCCACATTCTAATTTTTTATTACATTTTTCATCACAAGGTAATCTGTAACAAGGAGCTCCGCAGCTCAACTCGCACTTTCCTTGATGTTCACATTCCCATGAACATTTTTCTGCGCAAACAACACAAGGTTCTAGACACTTGACAGTACATGATGTGTGTTTACATAATACAGTACATTTATTATTACACGGCGAACACATGTTCCCATCATGGCAAGGTCGTCCACATGTATGCCCACAAAATAATAATCTTTTACATATCTGCTTACATTTTCCGTGCTTTGTCCTTTCAATAGGGGTAATATTTTCTGTTTGCTCTTCGTCTTCAGGTTTATCTTGTGGAGTCGAAAGTTTTTGACACCTAAAACATTCATTTAAACATGCATGGCCACATTCCAAAATTTTTCCACATTTCTTACTACACTTAACATTATCAGTAGATTCAAAGCACTAAAAATACAAAATGTTAATTTTATTTAATAATGTCCTATGCTTCGTTCCGGACAATGAATTTCACCGCATAAAATATAAAGATTTACTTACGTGAACGACTTCTGAATGCTCGCAATGAACTAGTTGTTTTTCGATCTGAACCAAACATTTGATTTTGTCTTGATATTGACTTTGACTTTCCCAACATTTGGCGTTTTTTAACACGTGACCACAATCCGGTAACGTAATGTCACCTATGGAAAATTTACATCTTCCGCAATCTTCAAAACAAAGATTTTGACATGGGTGATTACATTCCAAATGTAATTTTGAACAAAGTTTTTGACAGTTAATTCCAATATGTTCAGGATCATCTGAATGACACTTGTAAGCACACGCGTGTCCGCAAGAAAGCAAAGAATAACATGGCTGAAATGAAATTTCGTGTGAAAAAAAATTCATTTTAATAAAAAAAAAATTCATCTCTACAGAAGCAGCAACTGATCTTACCTCGTTGCATCCTCCATCTGGACTATATTGCGCAAATTGTTCAGGTTCAACAATTTGCTTAAAGTTAGAATGCTGATTACATACGATCGGCATCCCATCCCCAACTTGATTTCGCTTACGTAATATTTCAATTACTCGAGCCCACATATCAGATTTTGATGCCATTAGTTCAGAGTTACCGATGAGAAACATTCCTTGTCGAGCACGTGACAACAATACATTACTTCTATTGGGACTTTTCAAGAATCCAATAGAATCATTACCAGATTCGGAGTAATTACGAACTAAAGAAACGATGACTATGTTGGCTTCTTCACCTTGGAAATTATCAACAGTTCTTAAAGTAACCTTTTGTTGCAATGATATTTTCGAAGCAAAACCGATATTTTCATCAGTATTATCTTTTTCTTTTTTAACATCATCATCATCATCATCATCGTCGTCGTCGTCGTTAATTTGCCGTTCTTCCATTTCAGCAAGATTTTGCTCATCTCTTTCATCGATTATCACAACAAATGATTCAGCTAAAGCGTCTCGGATTTTAATCATTTGCCCCAAATAAGGAGTAAGTACGGCTATATCATCAGGTTTATTGTATCCGTTCCTAACGAAATATTTAACCATCTCCACCACCATTTGAACTTCATAAGTATTCGCATGAGATTGCATTGCAAATTCATCACCGGAATCATCTTCTGGACGTCTATGATCAATAAAATAAACATTATGTTGAGCGCCGCGTATATTTGGATATTTTGCAGTATTCTCGCCATCTATTAAATTTCGATAAACGGCGGTATTCTCGCCATTTCGATAAAGGGTATATCTAATTAAATCGGAAATTTCTTCCTTCCTCATACGTCTCTGAGTCAATAATTGAGCTTTTTCTAACTTAACCGCTTTATCACCTCGAATCAATCTTTCAAATAACGATTTATCTAGTTGATAATTTTTTCCTAATAATGAATCCATACTAAGAGAATAAGTGGCGAGTTTCGGACGAAGTTGATTAGGATCACCGATCAATATTATATGTTGAGTCGATGGAGTCAATGCGCTAAGGATATGTGCTTCAAGCACCTCCCCAGCTTCTTCGCAAATGATAATTCTAGGTCCAATGGATCTAATTAGATTTTGAAATTTGGCTGCGCCATTTGTGGTCATACCAATAACGTCACTACTCAATAACGCTCGACGACTTCCTTCATCATAAATATCGCACATTTCTTTACGTTTTTCATCATGTCTTCTTTGTAAATTTGATAGGTTTACTATAAATTCTTGATGAATCTTAGTACGCCAATGATCATGAAGCCTTTTTCTTTCTGTCCTTGACATATTCCAAATTGAATAATTATTTAATAATACATTTAAAGGACGATTTGTTTTCGGTTCTTTGTAACTTTTGATCCATTGTATAGTCTCATAATCGGTTTGTAATCCATCAACATCAGTCGTGTTCTCTTCACTTTCTTCACTTTCCCTTAACGCACCATATCGATTATGATTATTACGCTTCTTCTTTTTTCTTTGAGGTTTCGACAAAATTTCTTTTCTCTTTTTTATTACTTCCAAATCATCTCCGCTTATCCATTTCTCGAATTTAGTCATATTTCTCTTATTCCGTTTATTTCGAACAAGTCTAAATTCACCATTAGTTTCCAAAACCCAATTAGGTAAATCATCATCACGTCCGCGATGAAATTTACTATAAAACATTTTTTCTTCGGTCATCAGATATTCTTGTACATCGGCCCATTTCAACCACCTTTTGTGTAAAATATTTCTTACTTCGGTAGCTTCTTGTTCAATTTCTTCTAATGATCTATGCAATTTTGATATGAAATATGATTGCTTCCCATTTCGAATATGATTTTTACAGACTTCTTCTAAGCTAAACCCTTTAATTTTTTCAGATTTTGTTCGTGAACCTAATCTAACAATATTTGTTATCTTTTCATCAAGCAAATGCTGTGAATGAAAGAAAAAAAATGAAAGGTGAATAATAAAATAATATTAAAAGCAATTGTGTAGGGTAAAAAATCAAATGTTCACATGAACGTACTTCCAAGAATTGATCAAGAGCATGATTGGTAAAGCATATAGTGAGGATAGGACCAATTTTTGCTTTTCGATTTTCTTCGGCTAACAATACTTTCATTATTTCAACACCAACAACCGTTTTTCCGGTGCCGGGTGGACCTTCGATTAAAGCAATCTCGCGTGTTAAAGAGGATACCAATGCCTTCGCTAAGGTATAACGTTTTTTTTTTTAAAAAAAAAAAAGGTATAATTAAAGTAAGTTCCTTCTGATGTTCCAAAATGGAATGTAATTAATTACCTTGAGTTTCATCTAATTTACTATGTCGAGTAAGATTTTTTGTCACTTCATCATGACTACTTGAATCGGCGACATTTAATTTCAAATTTGAGATTTGGTCATCATTCGTACATAAAACCGACAAATCAAATTCAAATCCAGGTGCTCTGGTATATAATGGTGGTTCAACCTTAATATTATTTGACCCTTCCTTATTCTTTCCTTTCATATCGACCAAGTTATCAGGACTGGGCGCAAGATATTTTTCAAAAGGGAGAGCCGAGGGATTTGTAGATTGAAGAGTTTTAAGAACATAGTTGTAAGCCTCAAAATAAACTCCCGTTGTTTCAACCATGAATCTTTTTTCTAAAGTTTTATTTGATGTTTTATTGATATTTGAAATTTCATTTAACGCGATAGGATAAATGGATGGATCAATAAAATGGATATCAATATCGGCATATTTAGCATATTTGGCTAAAATCTTCTCATCTCTTAATATCACCACTCCAAAATAAATTGAATACATATCCGAACTAGTGGCAGAGGTACTGTTTTCATCTGATTGTGAATTTGGTAATAATAAGGTAATTAAACTACCAGTTAATAATCTTTTACTTTTCTCCCAAAATATTTTTCGATCTTTTTCATTTTTAGCATTACGAATTTTTGGAGGGGTGAATCTTAAAGTACAAGAAAATCCCTTTCTCCTATCACAAGTAATATTTGCAAATTGTAAATGAGTATATACTTGCAGATGACCTTTTTCATTCGTACCATTGTTATATTTAAATCTACCTCCTTCCTTTAAAATTTTACGCAATTCTTTAGAAGAGTTCCAATCTTGCGATAATGCATTAATGAAGCTTGATATACCATTACGAATAGGATTTAACATATCTTCCCTTAACAAGCGAAATTGTGTATCAAATAATTTAGCAGCTCCATCAGGTAAAAAATGTGGTGCATCAGGAAGAGAATATGGCAAAAAAGGTGTACGATTACATAATATTTCTTCCTTTGTAGGAATAATTGATATGTTTGAAATATCTTCAAAGTCATTATCGTGTCTTTGTCCATCTTTTGATAATTTACCAGGGGGATCATACGACCTTTCTGCTGCCGCTTTCCTGGCTAGTTCATTATAATGCATTAAATGCAATTCATCTTTATCTGGACATTGTTCACCCATTAAACTATTACGTCCATTATTCAGAAGTTTACTCAGGTTTTTCATTTCTTTATCTAGTACCATGAAAAAATAATTTTTCGTCTCCAAATTGTTAATCAACGGATCTGTTGAAATTGTAGACGATGGTTCCCGTTGAATAGAATGTTGATATGTGGTCTTTAATCGTTGTAAATCATAAACAATGTTATGCATTGTCTTATTAATAGATGCCTCTCTAAAACGATTTAATAATTCTGCGAGAAGTCGGACGATTATCAAGAAAAATATTCCTAAACTAATAATCAATTTAAAAAGGGTGAATTGGTTAATGTGGTATTTCATCAATTCAATAGTCAAAAATTAGCACTTACGAAGATGGAATAAACGAATGTTGTTCATGCTCTAATAATGTTTCCACACTAACTTGATTGTCAACAACAGAATTACGTTGCACCAAAGTTTCCATCATTTTCATGACATTTTGATAAAAGAAAGGGTCCTAAATTTTTTTTATTAAAGAAAATAAAAAATAAAATTAAAAATTAATTAGTTATTAATCACAAATGAAGGAATAATTAAACATTTCGCACGTTTTACTTACAAGATTGTTATAGACAATCGTATATATTGCATGAACATATTTTTCCAAAATACTTTCGGTAATAGCTGTCCTGGTTAATAACCCCAATAAAGGTAATATAACGTATTGAAAAGATAATACGTCTCGTTCGAGTCCTGCATCACATGACATTGAAGGATAATTTATGATGTCTCTTAATCGTTTAAGACCACCATTAGTACTGGCTAATTCTGTTACGAATTCTTCCGCATCATAACCATTCGTTGCTACTAATGCTGAACTAACGAAAAGTCTAACATCATCCTGACCAAAAGGGCTTACTTTCTTTAAAAATTTTCTCCATACATTTTTAATCGGTTCACCATTGGTGATGAAAACTAATCGGTCACTACCATTATAAGTTAATTCGGAAGAACGAAAATTAGTCATATTCATATCTTGTTGTGCTTCCTTTATTTCCATAATTCTAAGCGCTGGTGTTCTTGAAGTATTATCATTACTATCTCCGCTAGTCTCACCTCGTCTACGGTCAGCATATTCACGTCCATCACGGCGATAGCCACTATTACCTCTACTGCCTCTACCGCCACCACCAGTTCCTCTCGTGTTATGGCCGTTCCCACCTCGGCTACCACTTCTATCACCATTATTACCACGATTAAAGCCGGAACTTTGACCGTTCTTCATAATGTAAGGATATATATCTTTATATTAAAAGATGTTATCCTAAAGAAAAGGTCTTTTCTATTTTTTTGAATGACCCTTTTAAAAATAAAATAATTTCAATAATACCTTATAAATGCCCATTGTTACATTTAATTGATATGTCGTTACATTCGGTGCAGTTATGCGGAAATTTATCTAATCTCCGATTAGTAATAACGTATCATCCAAAAAAATACTTTAATAGTAATATTAAAGATCTTCGTAGTTAAGATTGCGTATTATGTGATTATGACACATTTCCTTTTTCTTTTGTTAAATTTGGTGTAATCTTTATATGTATGGATTGCATGTTACCATACCCATAATTTGATGGGTACTATGCATGAAGACTGCATATTTTTTTTAATTCGGGACACAATTGATCAGCGGTGCTTAAATTATGATTTTACCGATTAATATTCATTCTCATCATCAGTATCTTCTTTTTCATATCACTATCACTTTTTTAATTTATTATTATCGCTATCGTCATCGCTATTCTACTATTGTAAGAATTATCATCGATATAGCTTTTAACATTATCTCTTTTTTGATTATTCTACCGTTTCTATCAACAGAAATTCCACAACACTTTGAATTAAAGAAACATCTTACAGCCCCTGATATTTTACCATTTAAGATGGGTGTTTAATCCTTCTAGAAGGTGTCAATTCACAAATTTCAAAATTCATTCATTATAGTAATGATGCATCATTGCTTTAAAGCTTTTATAATAGATACATCTACTATGGGTTGTAAATTATTTGTAAGGTTACCATTATGAATGACCGTTCAACAATTTTCGAACATTCCAGAATAAACCACATATTTCGTATTATTAATAAATTCGAAAACTAATACTGTGTTAATTTGCGTCTCTGTGTTTTATACTAAATATAAGGAAAAATACGTTTTACAAATACTGTATTGTTATTATCTCATTTTCTTAAACAAAGAACATATTTTATTTTTTATTTACATAAGAAACAAAATACAATCTGGATCAAAGCAAGATTACCTACCTAAGCGCCAAAAAGATTCAAGAGATATATGGGAGCTTTGCAATAGAAAGGGAGGAAACTCTAAAAAAATTTTTTTTTAAGTTAATGTTAAATCTGGACTTATTTTACAAAAAAAATATAATTAGCTTATAAAGTAAAATTTTAATTTTTTTAGAGTTCCTCCCTTTCTATTGCAAAGCTCCCATATGATGTTTCGGTTGAAATGTTGTGACAATAGGTTGCTTCCGGAAAGGTCACTATTGTTAAAATGTCTGGAAAAAAGTGACTCTACTCAAATACAGATGTAAACAGAACCTTTGAAAATAACCAGCAGTCCATGCAAAAGACCAAAGTTTGCTATGCCAGAGTCAGCTCAGAACATCAGCGAGGAATAACAGATTACAGACCTCTGACAACATTATCCGGACATAAGATTATCAGCGATATTGGCTCTGAGCTCAATTGGAAGCGTAAAGGGTTTGTTTTCCTTTTAGAACGAGTATACTCTAATGAAATCGAAGAAGTGGTGATTACCTAAAAAGACCGCTTGTATCACTTTAGAACTGAACTTGTGGAGTGGATCTTTAAAAAAAGCCAAACACAACTCGTGGTTCTCAGTTCAGACATTTGTATCAATGATGGTGAAACTGAAGAACTTGCAGAAGATTTACTTGTAATCGTACAGTGTTTGTAGCATGACATAATAGATTACGTTCTACTGCAAATCGCAGAAAAAGAAAAGATGCCACCCAAGAAGAAAGAAATTAAACCTTCAGTAGGCAAAGTACAACGTATTCGTCTTTTTTCTATTCAGAAGGAATGAATGAAACTCAAACAATGGATAGGAACAGCATGATAGACATACAATCAATATCTTATTGTGATCAAAAAAAAGGTATCAATCAAAAAAAAAAGGATTTGAAGACACAATGCCTCAATTCCATAAACTTTAAAAATAATATAAACTTTAAATAGGTTATAGAAATGCCTTATGATATACAAAATGAAGTTAATAATGATTTGCTTAAAAGGTATTTTTCTAATTTTGCTGCAAATCGTAAAAAATTTAATATGAAATTTCATTTTAAAAAAGATCCTCAACAGTTTATTGTAATACTTTCTAAACACTAGAGCAAATTTTGTAATGAATATGCTTTTCTTCATAAAATTAAATCAGCAGAGCCTCTTTCAGAATGACTTGAGTATGATAGTCGTCTTGTAGTAAATCAGCTAGATGAATTTTATATTTATATATCTCAACCACTTGAAATAAGAACTGAAAACTAAGGTCTTTTATTTTCAGAAGTACAAAAAAAAGGTTTTTATTTATTTTGATTTATTTAAAATAACAAAATTAAAAATTAAACTCTAAGAAAATTAATTTATATATTTATTAATTTAATAGGAAAGTTCGGGAGTAATTGTTTTAGATCCAAATATATGTACTTTTATGACTGGTTATGATACAAGTGGAATTGCTATTGAATGGACTAAAAATGACATTAGCCAAGTTTATCAAGTCATGTATATAACAAACTTCAAAGCAAGTGTGATCAAATTCATGAAAAAAGAAATAAGCAAAAACGTTACAGGTAAAGTTTATTTATTTATTTATTAATTATTTATTTAATATTTATTTATAATTTTTAAAATGTATTTACTACTTTAATTTTAGATTATGTCATATTATATTACAAATTTACAAGAGAATTTATTGTCTTATGAATAACTATCATTGTAAGCTAGCTAAATAGCTTTGTGAAAATTACGTATAATATTACTATCTGAATTCTGCACTCAAAGAATGATTTGATATGATTAATGACGCATTGGTTTCAAAACTGCTCGAGTCATGTGTATATGGTCACATTATCGCTTTTAATAGCATTTAATTCATAAGGCACACAAGTATCTATGATATCAGGTTGTAGTTTGTACAGAAGAATATACAAGCAAAACTTGTGGATTCTATGGCTATATTCATAAAAAGCTAGGTAGATCTAAGGTGTTTTGCTATTTCTAATGTAAAATAAACCTTGATAGAGATATTAATGATACTTGCAATAATCTTCTTTGATATCTTACAAAAAAGAAGTCAGCTTAGGCTGACGTAGAAGCCTATTTTCTTACAGGATTTGTTATTATCTAATTTAGACATTGCTTAATGTAGAGTTTTATTAGTAAAAATGGTCATCATAATTAAGAAGTTACAACTCAGTAAGTTGCAATTCCTTGTAAATTTATTTTAATATAAAAATTCATAAATAGTTGCAACTCAAAATGTTGTAACTTAAATTGCAACTAGTTAAAAATTTTAAAAATAATTATGGGAATCATCTTTATTTATTAGTAATGATAGGTTTTAATGTAGACGTACTATTAGTTTGTTTCTCATTAAATTTATTTTTAATTAGCTCAACAAGATGACTAAACTAATAAAAACCTTAGATCACTAAATGCACTTATATTACAATTCTTTTTCATTTAAATGTATATGAATTTCTTGAAAAAAATGATTCTTTTGGTATATTTTTAAGTTTAAATATAAATTAAGCATAATAGACATTCGTTATATCACCTGGTGATAAAATCAAATGTCAATTTTTTTATATTGTGTAACATTTGATGTCAATCGATTTAAAGTAATAAAAAAAAGATGCAATTTTTTTTCAAAATCTAATTTATCATTATGCAGTTTTTTTTGCATTAATATGTCGTTCGTTCTTTTCTTTACATTTGGATAAAAAATGATTTGGTGATCTTTGCTCTAGCAAAACTTAAATGAGAGCTGAAGTTTTAAGGTTTTATTGATTAATATATGTATATTAAAATATTTTTTACCAAGTTTTTATAAATTCTAAAGCCTTTTTAAAGTCTACCAATATTTTTTCTTCTATTATTTCTTCTTCTTC